TCTCACATGCTTCATTGTCACACTTCGACTCCCACTGGGATGCTGATAAGACCTAGGCGAAGTCGAAACTGTAGTCTACTCTGGATGAAAAATTTTTTTGGAAAAGCAAGACTATGTTAAATTCAATGGAAACGTCAGCTCTACTCATATCATTGTGGGAATATTCTACTACCAGTCCCTCATCACCTTAAAGGAACTAGGATGGATACATCTCATACATGGTGATAAGGATTTTCCTTTTCTCTCTTCGTCCTTGGGCATTAAAACTTATGCAACGTTGCAGAGCGCCTGCGATTTATATTTTAGAGGCAGAAACTCATCTTTGAATCACCAAAGGCGTTTAGCTCCGCCTTTTCTTCTCCAAGTAAATTATATCACTTCTTACTTCCATGTTGTCGGCAATCTGTAGCTTATCTAATTGAGCAGTGAAATCCAGTCAGTCTAAGCCGCCGTATTTGCTGTACTCGAGGAGCTATTCATATGACCGGCCTCTAAAGTATAATAGCACTTACGCCACCTTCTCATCGATGATAACTGCAAAACCGTGATTCTTACATTTCTTGTCTTAAGTTTCTTATTCATTATTTCCTTTTTATCATCCTTCCTCTACCACTTTCCCACCCAATTTCCTGTGGTCCACTAGATCAGGCTTGTAACTATTAATGTGCAGCTATCTCTTAAATAGCCCACTTCTGTTTTGATTTCAAGTCTCTTGCTCTCTAGTATTATCATTTATTCCATAATTTCAGTCCAATCCAAGCAATTCAGCTTGTGTGTCTTGGTTAATAAGTCATATGGTCGGGCATTGAATCTAAATACCACTCAGGTAATTAATTCTGCCTACTTCAAGCCAGCTTCAATTACGTTTCTAGTCCCTGATGCACAACTCGGGCGAGTTTTTAGCTGATCTGGATCCCGACCGTATTCCTAATTGAAAAATTACCAAGCCGATTTCCATTAGTCATATATATTCTTTGGTGGACCACCACTACTAAGTCTCATGTTGCTTCATTTGGTTTGGTTTCTCTCACTGCATTTATTTTGGCTCCAAGTTGTCTCAAAAGCAATTCGCCTGCAATGCATTTTCCTATTGTTCGAGCTGTTCCTTGATACAGACGTCTTCTCTTTCTTGATTCTTGATTTTCTCCAAACAATATGCAACGTCTTTGCTGACCCTTGCTTTTAATTCATTCATTAGATCCATTTTAGTGAAGATGTCGACAGCTTTCCTGATTGTCCGTTTACTTCTATTTTCGCTGCATGAGATTAGTATTTCAGTTGTCTCCTATCTCTAGTGGCAATCGTCTAACACAGTTGCTAAGACGGGCAACTCACTGGTGACGCCGGCTGCGATGCCGAAAAAACCTCTTGAAAATACTCAACCAACGGCCTGATGCTGGAATAAATTGTGACAACTATGGGGTAGCACGTGGTTTGGAGTAGGTTCTTCGAAGTCTCCCTGAGACCATGAATTAGCTGCAAAAACGATTTTACATCAACTTTGTATGTCGATCGTCTACTGCCACGGAACTATCTTCTTAGCTTTGATTACGCTACTGTAATCAGTGTTTATCCAATTATACTCTAATCAAACTGGCTTCCACAACTTAATTATCTCCATTATGGTTTAATGGCAATAGTACCCTAATATTGACATAACGTTTACTCATTTAAATCTATTCTAACACAGGTTGATTTTAATTCTAAGATGACTAAGTTATTTGACAAATTCATGCCATAAGAAGTAGGTGGAGCTGCAGCAGGTCTCCTAGCTTATTATAGTGCCCAATGAATTCTCGTAATGTATAGCTTCATACCTTGACGATGTATGTTACATGACATGCAAACTCAGTCCAAATTCATCGGGCTCGACAGAATGTGCGCTCATTTTATACCAGATTTTCATCAGTCACTTCACACGAAATGAAAGTATGAAAACCTTAGCGGATCACATTCTTAAAGGCCCCCAATCACTAAAGCTGGATTTCGAAAGCCAGAAGAGAGGATTAATTATATGTATGAGAAATTAATATATCTTTAAACGGCGTACGCCGATTTTATTAGCTCAAACAGGAAATAGCATATATCATGATTATTTTAGGTGCATCCATATAGGATTGATTTATCAAAAATCTTATGTAGGAAATCTCCGCAAAGTTGATAAAGGCTCCTATTTTATGTCAACACATTCAAAATTAGTTTTGGCTGCTTTGATATCTTTCTTGATGATTATCTTTATGTAGATAATCGCATACTCAAGCAAAGGCAAGTATAACCAAGCCTAGACAGCAAATCTCTAGCCCCCTTGTGAAAGCTTCGTTTGTCTGCTACAGGTAGTCAACCAGTTCCCACCAAGGGTCAGACCAGCTCAACTTACCACACATGGTAGATCTTACGGAAGGTCTGCTTTCCGCGAAAGTCTAATAAGCTTATAGGACTCTAAGAAAAACCCGGATAAGATTATCATGTACCTGAAACAATTGCATTTATGAAGCCTTTTTCTATACTAGCCAACCAGATCAGATCTTTATAATATTTTGACGATCTTCGCACATAATCTCGCTTCTCATCTCATGACTACCTAAGGCATAGTCCTCAACGCCTTACATTCGTCTGGAGACGACTTCCTTTATTCTCCATTATTGTTCCTTTCATTTAGAGCGCATGTATTTGCCTTATATTCTTAGAGTTTCTGGAACAACTCTCTCGGATGCAGGCCCTGCGGATGGAGGACCAACGTGGTACCAACCTTTCCGAGCTACTGACGCAGTTACCCGAATCCCTAAAGTCAACGCTACTTGGACAGCCTGCCGGCCAGACACGCGATTGCGGCCTTGCAGTTTCGCGCTCCAAAAGTGCTGTTGCTGATTTTGAGAGAATTAGGCAGGGAACCTTATCTAAAGACGTTTTGCCATCATTTGCCCATCAGCAACAGGACGACAGGACGTGAATACACTTTAAAGCGTTCTGCAAAGGTTCCTTGGCTCAATACTTTTGAAACCTTTTCGTCAGATGACATCATAGGTTATCTGAGCTCATAAAACACGCCATTCCCAGTCACGTTCACTGCAACGCTCATTTACTTTATCAGTAATATAATCCAATATGTGTAGCCATAACTGTGAACCTAATTTGGCCTATTTACTCAGCTTTCTATCATTTGTGCAACGCATTGCTCACGAAACCAGAATCATCTTGCGATAATTACTTGCCAGGGCTTGTTCAGATTTTCAAATAGCTGAAGCAGATGCACCTACCCATGCAAAATAACAGAATATCTCGGACATAATTTCATAACACCCTCTATTTCATTTCCGTTTTTCACGTCGACAACTTTTAATTTGAGTCTAAATCTGGTTTTTATTCAACACCATATCTTTTCAGAGCTTCATACCATCAGATGCCTTACTATTTAACTATATTAACCGTTTACCAACTCTGAATACAGATTTTATAACAATTTCACTATTATTTTTCAATACATGCTCTTTACTGTTGTTTTGGTTCTAGCTAAGTTATCCTTGTTCTTTCATTAGGCCTAATTGCCAATAATACTTGTAAAAAAACTTGTGGCCTCGTTCTTAGCTTGACTATCACATTTGACATGCCGCTCGTCAAACGAAGTTACGTACACTCCTTTTATTCATTTGTCTCCTGTTAACTCTATCAAATAGATGCTTTATGGGCTGATTACGTCTTATATATATATTTGTTTGTTTGGATGCGTTGAATGATATCCATCACCACAATCACATTTGCGAACTGGCCTTTAGAAATATGTCAGATCTGAATTACTGTAAACCCGCAGTCTCCCAGCATGTACATAAACACACTCCAAGAATACTTTAATATAATACCTATTTCTTCACATCTCAACAAACATCAAAGGCTATGCAACCATATTGTCGTGAAGACTAATTTCGCATGAGATTGCAAGATGCGTAAGTCCATCTCACCAGAAGACGACCGATTCCCATTTTACTGCAGCTATTTGGCTTTAATACGACGTTTAAGTTCAAATAATTCAGAGCACACCCTCCCTCGTCTTGGGTAAACATCATCAGACCCGGGACTCATTCTTATAAGTCTGCGGTTAACACTACATATTTTTTGTGAGAACTCTAAAACTGCCTTGAGCCAAGAAGACTTGCTGACCTATCCTACGTGCTATATATACTCATAATGAAAAAAAATATTTAGATATAAAAAGGTCTAGTTGATAATCTTATAATTGAGTGTGCTTATTCGCGTCTGCGCAATACCAGACGCAAACCAAAGTAAAAAAGCCTAGCCTCAGTGCCGGCCTACATTTCAGCAATTCAACACTGAGGTACGAGTTTACGCAATCCCTGTCATGCAGTTCCTTAGGCCATGATGCTTTGATGATCCGGATGCGAATACCTTCTTTAAAGCAGGGTTATGTGAAATGCAATTGAGACAAGACCTAATTATATAATTATCGGAAAATAAAACTTTGATCCAATCACCAACGAAATAGAGAATCAAGCGCTAACCAATCAGACTCAAAAACCCACTTCAAAACTGAAAACATTGTGTAACCCTTAATGGCACTTAATCTTGTGGTTAATGTAACTTGCTTGTACCTATGAACTCATTCTTATTTTCCATCTCTTTTGATGTAGCCGGAATCTTAATCGAACTCAATGGCGACGTCTACGAGGTATACACATGGTGTACTCACCCTCACTCCGCCGGAAAAAGGCAGCTTTCCTCTGGACCACAAAGGAATATGCACCGATTTGATGCTCGAATGGACCAAATGCATGTCGAAAAGCCAATGGTGCAATGAGAAGTGTCACATTGAATCAGCCGCTTATCTGCATTGTCGCATCAGACACGGTCTGATGGCACCAGAAGAGCCTCAGCGTTTGGGCTTCACTCCAGAGGAGTGGGACCAAGCTAGCAGATTGAGCATGGAAAAATAATAAGCACCGTATGAGACTAGATAGCTTTCTCCGTATATCTTTTGTAAATACTGCAATTGTTCCTTAAGCTCTAGTGGTCAATTTTTGAGGCCAACAAACACATAAACGACTCTGCGCAAGATGTTTTATTTCTTTACAACCAAACGCCTGAGCGTGGCCAATAGTGCCGCTTACTACAAGCCAGTATCGAGCGTGAAATGAACCAGACTAGTGGGAGCAATATCATGGTTCTAGCCCAACATTAACGATGACCAGTTGTAGCTAGTGATAGCCATTTAGTTCCTTTAAGACGCTTGAAAGGAAAAGGCAAAAATGGGAAAAGCAGACAAGAGACTGAGTCTCCGGATTGTCCAAAAATAGTTGCCAGCTCAGTGTTCAGCCTAAGCTTGGGACTAGGTTCATATAGAGTAAAGATTAGTTCAAAAAATAGCGACATTAAGAATTGACTATGCTGAAGGCGTGCGAAATTAAACTAGGAGGGACAAAAGAATTTACGGCGAAGTATACATGCGGAAAATCAAAGTTTTCAGGTCTTCCCCGACTACCCTTAACTAAAATCAGAGACCTACCGGATAAATAATAGAATACCCTTTTAGATCAGTAGGATCACGCAAAGGCTAGTGACAGCGGGGCGTTAAAAACAGTGTTTAAATTTATTTGATCGCAAGATTGTCATGGGTTTCACCTATTAACTTCGCATCGGTGCCATCAAAGAGAAAAATATGTCGAAGGGTGGAAGTTTATTTAATCGATTGCAATTGCTCGAGCATAAAATGTATGCGATGTTTCATGATCGGCTGACCTTTGCTTGTTTTTTTCTGCCAGGCAATATTCTGCCGCTTTCTTTTATCCATTCGTTCTAAGCGTTTTCGCTTTATAGATGCAAGTTTTTCACGACGTGCCTTAAGGAATTAAAGCTGGTATGACAAACCTTCTGACACTCCTGTTGCGCCTTGAGAAGAGCCTTAAAGCTCGTTTTGTCTCTTGATTATTACATATCAAACTGTTTTTATGTATATACTTACTTGGACTTTGGACGGATGACCGCGGGATTATTAGCGGACGTGCGGCGCGCAGTCATTAGAGAAGAAGAGGTGAAATACCCGCGCGGAAAAAACTGCATACGATTTTTAAAACATTAATTAAGACAATATTCTGCATGCTAAATATGTTCGATTTCTTTTGTTAATGTGGCAAATAGAAAAGTACTTAGTCAATCTTAATGGTTTGCTAAATATATTTGAATTTACTATTTCTGAAATTTACTCCAAAATTGTTTTAAGCCTTGTTGAGGTTTATTACCAACTGAATACTAAATATAATTTTTAGTAAGATTGAATGACAAGAAGGCCCCGAGGTAGTGGCATATGCTTGATGCCAGTACTCATTCGACCAATTGTGGTAGTAATAGTGATGACAGTATACTCTTATAAATATAAATGCATTTTAATTACCCACAAATTGTTAGGATTTTGGTAAATCTTTATGTGAACGAGTTGACCAAAGATTTTATTTACTTTAATAATGGGGAATGGGCGTAGTACCGTCTTCGGCTTAGTTTCGAGTTACTCAAAGTTTCTGTATGGCCCCCCAAAAAAGATACGTGAACTGATACTACCCATAGCTATTTTTACTGCATGTATTCGCTGCATAAAACTTGAAAACTTATAAAAACTCAGTTAAACTACAGCAGTAAACAAAATTTTACACTTATATATCAGACAATTTTTTCTATTTATCAACCAACATGCGATGCTTAGCTTGTGGTCCTCAACAATCTCAATCAGAGTGACATTTTAATGGTTTTGTATGAACGGCTATAATAATAATAGTCACCTATGCACAGTTTTTGGATGATGGTAAATAAATAATTACTTTATAGCTTTGTAAAATGGAAAAATATCCCACAATAAAATCCCCGAGCTCTGTAGTTATGATGTAATGACGTAAAGTGCTTGATAACCATAAGCCTGAAACGAGTTGTTTGCGGTCTCTTCTCACAGATATACTAACAACTGTTTCGTATTTTTCCATACTTGTAGTTAACTTTAGCACCTCTACTTACGAAATGATGGGTTCCAATTTTTCTCCTAATCTACTAACTTCTGGCCATTAAGACTTAGTCAGCTTCTGAAGATGCCGCTATTAGCGAATGCAGTGCATTTCGCTACATAATCCATTAATTTGTTCACGTAGCATCTAAGAGATGCTTGCTCTTCGTAAATCGAATTTGATTGATCCTATCTAGGGATTACCAAACTTTTACTAATTAAATATTTGCCAAATAATGGTTAGAACGGTCGAATTTTTTCAGCTGATTTCAGTATTAACGTTTACTATATTATATATATTTAGTACGATTGAAACTTCATAGCATCAACAAAGTTTTTATAACTTTCTTGCAGCCTGGTTGTGGTGTTAGCAATAGCTAAGAGAACGCACCTTGAAAATACAAGCATGCTGTGAAGACGAGATCAAAGCATCTCTTAACAACAGAAGGGAATCGCGATCAAAATAGAATATACATCATTTTAGTCTTCATACATTTGATTACATGTTGAATTTTTATAGAAAGTCAAATACCATAATCACTAGATACATGTTCGACGGATAACTTAACGCAATAAAATATAAAATAACGCTCATCTATAATTTTTACCCTGAATCACAATTAATGCTTTATATTAGTTAACTTATAAGAAACTATTTAAATATTTATAACTTCTGGGATGTGTAGAGAAGGTAGGTTCCGAAGAATCCCTTAGTAGCTTGATGCTGGCATGTATTTAATTTCATTTGTGCAAGAGGATGAAAGAATTTCGTATATTGGCCGCAACAGATAAAAAGAGGGTTGCCTTGGGCTGCTTGATTGTAGGTAGAAGACCTCGTCAGATCCAAAAACAATAATTTAAAAACAATCATACATAAGAGGATGTTGTCGAAGCTTTTGCTTATGTAAATAAATAAGCGTATTATCATGTAATACTGAGGCTTGTTTTAGCTTCGGGGATGCGTTTGCGTTGTGTATATGCAATACTTATGAGTTATATAGCAATGAAGATTAACTGATTTACACTTCGTTTATGAGATATAGTCTCTTTATTTAATATTAATCCATTTTATGAAAAACAATCAAAGGGGAAATCGTTAAGAATATTAAATTGTCGTTACAAATTTTCTTGCAGTCTGTACCTAGAATGGAGAAGGACAAGGATACAGGTTTATAGTTAGGAGAATACTGTGCACATAATATGAAAATGTAGGAGTTATCAAGTTTATAGTAATTTCGAACATGAGTGAAGCATAAATAGTCGAAAGGATAATGCTTGTGATAACGGCTATAATTCGTAATTAAAAGGTGAAAAAGCAAGGGAAAATGTTGGTTTGTGTTTCTGGAGTCATAAATTATAGACAATAAGAAAGACAATAAATCAATTTTTACTTCTTAATTCAAATAGGAATGAAAGAATACTATACTAGGATTTCGTACGTAATTAAAATTTTTTTAAGTGTTATAGCCAGAATAATGTGATGAGTTGCTTCCGGCCTCTTTTCACTGATATAATAACACTCGCTTCTTCATTTTACCATCTTTATAAATGATACGTTAAAGATTGGCAACTTTTCTTATGAAATGGTGTGAGGCGATAAGTTGCATTTTGAGATTTGTTAATTCTCTCCTATTCGCATTTAATTAAACTAACCTTACTTTTGTTTGCCCTTTATATGTCAAGAATGTGTGCAAATCTTCATCCGAAGCAAAAATGACTCGTACTTCTGCGGCCGTGGCGAAAAAAGGTTCGTTTAAATTCTCTCTAACTCTAATCTTCTAGCAAAAGTATGTTTTTTTAACATCTGGGACAATTCCATAAATGGTTACTCGAAAAGGTGAAAATTATGCTCATCAAGCGTCTCATTAACTTTGAGCACAATATCCTAACGCGAAATGAGACGAATGCTGTCAATCTAAATATCCGATATTATATTTTCAAATTACTGAAGATTAGGAGTTTCTCCATATTCCAAAGCTGCAATGAAAGGACTTTGTCAGGACTGATCTTATGGAAACAAGCCTCAATCTGTCACCACCGGCGGAGTGTTCTAAGAGTGATTGAGACGAATTTTGAGGAGTAGGGGCTTTCGAATTTTATTGCACTTAATTCGGGTGGCTATCGTTGAACCTGCATCCTCCGAAGACTTTTGTCATTCAGTTGATCAAAGGAAGTAACATTATCAATCAAAGTTCAGGCGATTTTAAGGAGTTACAATCCATAGCAGGAGTTTATTTCCGTCTAGTCGAGCTTCCATGAACGCAGAAGCGGAGGAGTTTTACCGAGAACTAGGCTCGATCAGCATGGTAGCAGGAGATAGATTTCTGAGTGCAACAGATGTCAGATTACATCTTTAAATTACAGAACCGACACAATCCTCAGCATGAATATTGGTTTTAAACTATAAAATGAAGCGTCTGGCAACACAAATTCTAATCGGCCATAATATTTGCCTCCGGGTAAAAACGAGAAAGCTTTTATGATTATGTGCGAATCCAGAAATGAACTTCAGGTTTCTGTATTACGAACGATGGCGATTTATTTACAATAGCCAAACTGATGTACACAAAATTCTCGAGTGACTGGGCGATGAAGCTCGAACTAAGTTTAGGGTTGGTTCGACTTAATTTTTGCAACTGGATCATGCTCCCAGAGATACTTTGAAGTACTTTTCTCTTACTTAGTCCCTTCTTTTTATCATCATGCATTCTTCAACCCTTTGAGGGGATTGCATGGCATGCTTAATGGGCAGCGTTAAGTTTAGCGTTGAGGTACAACTCGTCGGTGACAAGTGAAGTTAATCTCTTATCCATTTTAAGCTGAATAGTTGAGACATCTCTACTATTTCCCTTCGACCTCATACTTTTCCTATCGCTTTATGCTGCATCGTTATGCATCACTCCTTCATATGCCTAAGTTTCCTCTTTGCCCTAATTTGAGCCTTCAACT